CACATTTTGTTAGCACCTAAGCGGTAACAGGACAGCTTCAGTTCGACTTGTAGGCCCAGGTGTGCTCCTTGAGGTATGCTTGGACGGCTTCCTTGATGGCAAGATTCGGAACCAACTGGTGCTCCTTCAAGGGCTCCCGCGTCACCGGATCGAAATTGCCCACCTAAAGGAAAAAATTATTATAAGCTTTACAATATTGTCATTCAAAGTAAAATTGCTGCTCTGCTGTGCAAACTGGACTGTACATAAGGAGATGTTTAAATTTGCCCATTAGCACTCACACCTGTCAAGACCAAGTTTGCGTGTTGTTTTCGCTAATCAGTTATTTCCCCTATGCAGTATTTATAGAGTTGACTGAATCTATAGTACCATAAAATTAGACAACCGATATTTATGTGAATATATTCTCTAGAATGAATTTCAGTTGAAGATCCTAGGAAACAACAGTAAATAAGATGAATAAAGTCAGGAGTTCTCTATAAACAGATGCGAAATTAGGAAGAAGGCGCACCTTGCGAAGATGCTCAAGCAGTATGGCCCTCTCATATGTTACACCACTGGGTGTGATAACTGGATCTCTAAAAATCTCAAAAGTTATTTGACAGCAAATGTAGTCCGGCACCTAGGTATTCAGAGTGGGAACAACTTAAGAAGGCAGAGAGGAGAAAATAAGACTGAACAAGAAAAAAAGATTGGTTACAAGGTATCATTAAAAATAGTGCATTTACATCTCCTGGTGTATCAGCAAGTATAGCGTTCGTGAAGACTTCAGATAACAATTTGCATTGCTCTGAATACTCATTGGTTGTCCCCTCAGAGTCTTCTGAAAGAGTGCCGCTAAGAAAGTGATGCTCCTGCAGAGCATTTTCACAAGCTTCCCTACATGTTCATGTTACAGCAGTGTTATAAAAATCAGTGTCTTGGATGCAAGGCATCACAGTAAGTGTTAAAGTTTTGCCGAATTGACCCTCAACACCAAATACACACACTTTGCTTGATCTTCAGCACAGTGACACCAATCATCTCATGGCAATTTCAATATACAACGTACCTTAAACTTTGCATCTTCCAAACTCGCTGAGTGGAGTGCTTTTCCCAGGCAAGGTACTTGGCCTTGGCAAGAACCTGCCAAATGTCCTCTGCCATTTTGTCCCTTGAATTTGAAGGCTTCAAGAGATCCAAAGCCTGTTCCCCATCAATATGCCGAGTGAAAATAAGCATCAAAGTCAGACAATCAGCTGAGTTCACTAATTAACTGTAGCTACAATTGTGATTTAAACCCCTAGGTAATCAGAAGAGCTTGGTGAAAGACACCAAGGTAGTACGTATTGACACCACCATATTTCTCAAGGAGACAGGAAGCCAATAATGGGTTACATAATACATACATGTGAAGAAGACAGGTAAGCTACAAGGGCAATCAGGTCCTTGTTTCAAAAACAAGGGTAATCAGGAAGCATGCTTTAGACGCATGTGAGATAACCGGTTGGATTCAGAGATATTCTAGACCATCTTGAAGTTAATCGTCAATCAGACCGGTGCTTACAATCTACCAATTCTTATATTGTAAATAATGGCACAAACGTGACGATCTTAGCATAATACAGAGCCTGGTTCGGAATGTACAGAGGATTCGCAAACGGCGGACCTTCTCGAATTCCTTGACCGCGAGAGCGCAGTCCTCCTTCTCGAGCAGCGCGCACCCTAGCAGATAGTGCCCCTGCATCAATCAAGCAAGAACATTTTACAAATCTATGCCTCTTCCCGGTTCAAGTTCATGATGGCGAAACTGGCGTCGACTGAAAAGTGGGGAATAATAATCTGCGTCAGTCACCTTGACGGAGGTGTCGTCGAGCGCGAGCGCCCTCATGCTGTCCTCCTCGACCCTGGCCCAGTCCTTGCGCCTGAAGTGGCAGAGGCCCCGGTTGACCCAGTAGACGGCGACGCCGGGGCAGAGCGCAATCGCCTGGAAACCAACCAACCAACCAATCAATCAATCAGTCAATCCGTTCTTGGGGGTTCGAGGGATTGGGGGAAGAAGGGGATTGGGGAAGAAAGGAGTTGCCTCGGTGTAGCAGTCGATGGCGGCGCCGAGGCGGGCCTTCCGGAAGCACGCGTTGCCCTCGGCGCGCCGGAGCTCCGCCTGCCGGGCCACGCCGCCGCCGTCCTCCGCCGCCGCCGCCATGGGAAACCTCCCTCTCTCTCTCTGCTTGGTTGGGATTGCGCAGCGCAAGAAGATCGAAGGCCCCAAGCGAAGACAAGAGGAGGAATTTCTTTTCTTTTTCTTACAGAAAAAAGAGAGAATATATTGTTTGTTTTTCCTGATCCAAACGGTCAAACAAGTCAACCCCTTGCCACAAGGAACTAGACCCCCCCCCCCCTCTTTTTTTTGAGGGAACAAGGAACTTTTTTTTTGAGACAAGAGGGAACAAGGAACTAGACCTGACCTAATTGATGTAAAAAGGAAAAAACTAGACCTGATCATATGCCCAATTGGGCCGGCCTTTGG